GGGAAATGGATAGCTCATAGGTTCCCAAACATTTGTGGCCCACCATCCCCTTTTCAGGAAAAAATTTTCTCAGTACCCACTGGCAATTACAAACTTTTATACTATAAAGTATAGGTATCTGCTTTTGCAGTTCCCCTCCCCGCCCACCCTTGAATCATTCAGGCACCTCCCAGGGGGCTGTACTGACTACTGTGGGAAACACTGGGGTAGCTTGTTAATATAAGTAAGCTACATAGCACCCTTGTCAGGGTGGGACCAAGCACATGTTGTATGCAGAACCCTAGCACGGGAATTGGTAAAAGTAGGATCTCATAACCACCAAGAAGGTTGAACCAGGAATAAAGTGTCCTTCAGACCCAGGACTTCGACACCAGGAATCTGTGTGATCCAAGAGACAGACAGATGTGATACTAGAGATGATGAGAGACAGCAAGAAGACAAAAAGAATCAGCAAAGAAGCATGCAAAAGAACCAAGAGACTGACAACAGAGAGGCTGGGCTTCCCAGGCCACAGAGCAAGAAAGCGGAGTGCCTTCAGACAGAAGGCTAGCTGGTACAGTGGGGTGCTTCCTAGCATTTGTCAGAGGAGCTACATTTGCTGACCTAAAGAGCTAGAGCTACGTACCTTCTGGCTAAGGCTTCTTGGCAGAATAGGGTGTGCCTTTGGGGTACTTAAATCAGCAGAGCTAAAAGCTTTAACATTTGCCCAGGCAGGGCAGGGACTGAAGACTAGAGAGAGGCATTCCTGTGGGCACTGCTACGAAAAGGCTACCTTGATCAAAGAATAGTATTCTAAGTCATTTCTGATCTTGAATTGTAACCTGTTAACTTACCTAATCAGCCCCCAAAACCATGACTATTGTCTGTGAGCTCTGTGTGGCCACTGCAACAAATTATTGGACCCAGAGGAGGAGAGAGCGAGTGCTGTGGGAGGGATGGCTGGTGTCAGAATTGGTAGAAAGGTTGGAGGGCCAGTCTGACAGCCACCACACAGGAACCAGCCCTGGGTGGCTGATCCAGATAATCTCAATTCTCCTCCCACCTCATGAAGTAAGAGGTGGTTAAATGCCACCACTATGACATTTTTGCGCCAATTCACATTGCATTTCGATTACTATAAGCGCACTTCATCTTTGCGGGGGGGTGTAATTATATTTTATCATTAGTAAAACCTACTACAATGTTGCAGCAAATAATTTGCTGGTGTTATCATTCTCATGTTCACTCACAACTGTTCAAAAATAAGATTTATAAAGATATTGATAATAAAAAGCAATAGTCTTAAAACTGAAAGAAAATTGAAAGTGCTATTTGACTAAGTGTGAACTGACTTCCACAGGGAACTGCTGGAAATCTGGGACTACATGTACTATTGATTTTTTAAAGATAATTAAAAATAATAATGAATGGTAGGGATGCCAAAGAAAGTCCAAAACATTTTTTGGTAACTCCTACTGGCATTCATTCAAGAACAACATAACCAAGATTTCATTTTCTCATTTCAAGAGGAAATAGTGTACTGAGAAGGGACTGTATTATAGAGACTAAACCTTGACTGAATCCTGGCTCTGCAACCTATTTGGTGAGTAACTTTTATTTATTCTTCTAGTCTAAATTTCCTCACCTGTAAATGCAAGAAAAGTTCTACCTTGCTGTGGCAGATTAAATAACGTATACAAGTTACCTTATATATAATATATCCATTAAAAAAACCTCATAGTATGATACTATGTGGGAATACTTTGGAATTATACCCAAACACACCTAAATAAAGGTTAGTGGAATTGAGAACTAGAGATCATGCAGAGAGACTATCAAGGGAATATGCTCATGCGCCTTTGAGAGTAAGACATAAATGAGGAAGTGGAATCAGGGGGAGGGAGTGGGGATAGGAATAAAGAACGTGAGTAGAAGGATAAATAAAGAGTGAGGCTTTACAATGGGTGGAAGTGATGGTTCAGAAATCAACAATAGGTAAAACACTGCATCCGAGAAAATTTGCAAAAGCATAAGATACATAGCTTACATAAAGTATTTCCAGGATAATAACTATGAATCCCCCCAAAACCACAATGGGTCTCAGAGAGAGGCAAAAGATCCAAGTCCTAGTCTTTAGAGCTCCTGCCACTCAGCTGGCTGTTTAAGAGCGGTAAGATTTGCTTCAGGGTTCTCATTTACCAGGTGAAAATATTATCCCCTCCCCTAACTTGCCTCACAGAACAGAATTCTCTGGGCCTCAGCTTACTCAACCGTAAGATAAAATAGTGAGAGGAGATTACTCTACGCTCTGGACTAATTGATGATGCTAGGGGAGAAGCTAGCGCACTCTAGCATTAATATTAGACTTGGGCGAGGCCTTGCCAATGTACCAAAAAAGGAAGCTGAAAACAAAAAGTAGGAAAATGAACTACTTGAATAACACATGAAATTCACCAATACAGATAAAACCATGTTCTTCTTCCAGTACTTCCTAAAAAAGAAATTTTAAAAATCTTCCTAGAGTACTTTATTTTCAGAAGCAGTTAACCTAAATCACAAAGCCCAACACATCTATTTAAAAAGGACAAGTTACTAAAAAGGTTAAGTTACTAATAACTCTATAATCTTCTAATCAGCAAATTTCTCCTTTATTTCCTCATGGAATTTTCCCTCCAGTTCTTCCTTTTCAAAGAGCTGGCTTTGATAAGGCAAGAAGCTGTGTGTTTAGTCAATTTAAAATTATTTTAATATACTTATCCAGAGAGTGTGCTGGTGTACTGAAAGATGAAACTTTAAGTAAGGCAGCAACTAAGCCCCTACATAACTCTTAGAAAGGCAGCAACTAAGAGCCGACGTAGCTTACATAAGCACCCTTGTCAGGGTGGGACCATGCACATATTGTATGCAGATCCCTAGCATGGGAATTGGTAAAAGTAGGATCTCATAACCACCAAGAAGGTTGAACCAAGAATAGAGTGTCCTTCGGACAAAAAATTTTATACTCCATGTTAATTCTCATAAATAATCTGTTATGGTCAGTTTCCAGCAGGCCTTCAAACTGGTTTTCACTTTGACCCGTTGCTGAGAATTTGCCTTTTCAGCCCAGAGACACTGAATCAGAATAAAAATTCATACCACCATGGAGTCAATGCTGGCTCATAGTGGCCTTATAGGACACAGTAGAACTGCCTCTGTGGGCTTCCGAGACTGTAAATCTTTATAGGAGAAAGCCTCATCTGTTACCTATGAAGCTGCTGGTGGTTTCGAACTGCTGACTTTGTGGTTATAGCAGCCTACAATGTTAACCCACTATGCCACCAGGGCTCCAACAAGATCCTCAGAGTTAAATAAAATATATTCTGATTCAATATATCTGGGGTGAGACTGAAAATTTTTAACAGGGATATGGACCTAGTGAACCAGATTTAAAGTCCTGGTTTACATGTTCCGTTTAATCATGTTATGGTCGTATCTTTCTTGCAAAACCAAAACAATCCTCATTTATTCTTTTACGTAGCTTTCTCTAGGCATCCATCAGCCTAACTCCTGCCAAAGTTTTCTTACTTCTCCTACTGTAGACCACAGTCAGGTCACCACTTCAATCTTAGTTTCCTTCCTTGGTTTCTCCACTCTTTTAATTTATAGGATTCTCCCTCTGTTCCCCTGACTCCCAGGACCTAATTTCACAGTACTGCATTTCTCATTCTCCTTCCATTTTTGATCTGTTTTTGTGAATTAGTGCTTCTTCTGAACCTATGGGTCCCTGCTAGTCTTCATTTCCAGAAGGCCAACCAACCCATCTCTGGAGCCCCAAACACCTGCTCTTGACTACTTCGCACCTAAAATAGCAGTCACTAGTCCCTATCATCCTGATACTACAAACACATGTCAATCCATGTGGCTTGTTCAATCCCCAGCAGTCACAACCACCTCTTCTTGAGCTCATTGTACTTCTTTCCACTGCATAAATATCCCCCCAAACCTGGCACAAAACATTCCATGACCCCCAAATCCAAAACCAATCCCCTAAGATCACAAAGAAGCCGCCTTTCCCAGCAAATTGTTTACCTCGAACATTTTAAGTGGCTCCTCCCAAAGCTTCCTAACTTCCGGCTCTTTATGAGGCCAGGGCATGGCTTCCCTCAAACCTACTTGCCCAGTAAAAATCAACTGTACTCATCTTTCTCTTGAAGTTTTCCAGACCCTGCCTCAGCAGCACATCCTGTCATTAAACTCCTTCCTCAGTCACTTCTGAATCACCATCACTCTCCAAACTCCTCACACCTCTCAAGTCGCTCTCCTCCCCGTGGATGCCCAGCTTCTCAAATCATTCCCATTTTCCTAGCAATCACCCTGGCCATCTCCTCCATCGTTCCTTAGGCCTGTTTTTATTCTCCATTCTTTCTCAATTCACCCTTCAAAGAATTCATCGCTTAGTCACCCCACTCTCCCTGGACCTGCCTCTAAACCTCTGGGGAACCCGGTCTAGAACCCTCGCCGTCTCTGGTGTTCCCGGTGCGCCTTGCTTTTTCTGGGACAGAGTTCTCACACCACTCCCACACCTTACCCTAGTTATTCCCCTCATTCCCTAACTTTTCTCTCAGTCACTCCCGATTGCGTTCAACGTTCCTTGGCACATCTAGCAGCCTGCCCCCCACCCCCACCCCCAGTAAGCCCCATCTTTGTCAAGGCTCTACTCCCCTTTTCTCAAACCTTGTTCCCACCCTTCCTCTCCTGGTGCCTCCCACATCTCTTAAATTACCCTGTTTGCCCAATCTCTGCCTGATTCCCTTTCCCTGCAACATCGCTGGTCCCCTAAATTTCCTTCAAGCTGCTCTCTGAAGGTGTCCGACAATTTCCGTTGACCCGGGGACTCCTCTAGAACCCCAGATCCACCTTCTGACTCCATCCAAACCTCTCTCAGGCCGCTGCCAGCGTTTCCTCTCCTCTTAACGCCCAGAAACGCCATTCTCCAGTGGCCGAGGCGCGGCCTCTAGGGAGAGGGGGTATGGGTCACGTACCCCATTCGCATCTTGGCTCCGCTCTGACTGCCCCCGCTGCCGGGTAGGGGAGTGCGAGGGGGTAGTCGGCCGAGGTGCATGCTCTTCTCGAGGGTGGACATGAACAGAAGGCCACACGTAATCAAACAGCAGTCGAAGCTCAGTCCGACGGTCGTTAAGCGCGGCCCAACCGGTTCAGATGGCTCCCCGGGCGACGCTCAGGAGCCTTCACACAGCCAAGCTACCGGCAGCACCGCCCACCGCCCACTGGCTCCGCAAACTCCACCCCCTTCCCCGCAGGGCCTCCACCGGAAGTGCGCAACAGAACCACCCGCAAAGGAGGCTGGGTAACGGAGTCTACGGACCGCTCAAACCCGAAGGGGAGAACGCGACGAACCTAGCCGGAAGAGGAGCGCTCCTAAAGGCAATGCACCCTGGGCAATGGAGTCGTCGACGGGCCTAGCCCTTCGCGCTTGCGCAGGAGGAGGTGACAGCCTCCAAACCCGCCGAGGTAGCTTAGCAAAGGATCCTGGGTGTTGTAGTCTATTAGCAGAAAGACGTCTTGGCGCCTTTCCGTTTCACGGTTTCCCAGAGACTGTTAGAGGAAGAGTGTCTTCTTCCTCCTTCCCAGGCTGCCCAGCGGCGCCGGTTGCCGGGGAACCCTGGCGCGGTGGGGAGGGATGGCGGGAGGATAAGACAGCCGAGCTGAGTCCGGAGCCAAGTTGGTGAAAAAGAGCTCGGACTCAGCATGAAACAACGAAAAGGCCAAGGGGCTGGGGGCGGCCGTGGCCGCAAGAAGAGAGGTAACCTGAGCGACCAAAGGCCATGGAAAACTGGGCGGGGTTCGGGCCAGGTGCCCGGGGTGAGAGGAAGAAGGGCGGAGAAGGGAGAACCAGGGAGTCAGGAGGTTAAAAGAGGGCAACTGTTCACCAAAGAATGAAAAGGAAAAGGTACTCAGGTGGGGGCAACAGATGGGATCGAGTGGTAAGGGTTAAATGGGACATCTCTGGGAGAGGAGAACAACGACCACAACAACCGGGAGTGCTTTGTTCGTGGTGGTGATTCTAGCTTTTTATTGTGCTTTATGTGAAAGTTTATATAGACCATCTAGATTTCCCATTGAACAACGCGTACACGGTTTGTCAGCAGGCGTTGATAGCCATCCCCCCCATGGAATTGCACCCTTCCCCGTAGGTCCCCGTGATTCCCATTTTTCATTCCTTCCGAGCTTTATCACTGGGCAAATGCTGCCTTTTAATGATCTTGTTTGCTGGCGTGTTCTAAGGAGTCATTTATAGGCCTATCTATCGTTTGACTAAACATTGAGCCATTGTTGTAGACTTACGGATCCGAGGGCCAGCGTCACACGGTTCTCCATGAGTGTTTTTAGTAACAAAGGGAGGGGGCTGGAATGGGATAACTTTGGACTTCTAAGGGAGCCAAAGGGGAGAGGGTTTCAGTGGACAAGGAAGGGACATTTTATGCATGCTTGGCTTCCCAAGGACTCGCAGCAAGCAGGCGTCGAGTGTTGGGTGATTGAGACATGCTAGTTGGGAAAGAGTTGTGGGAGAGGGAGGGGAAACATAGTGACCAGGTAGGGAAAAATAGGGTCATGGAGAAGACACAAGGTGCGGTAGGATTGGAGTGGGAAGGAAGGCACTGTCTTTTGAAGGACAAGGTGCCCAGGGAGGGGAGGGCAGGTGGCACAAATACAAGAGGACCTGATTAGGGTAAGGCCCTCCTAAAGAAGCCACCTGGCCAACAGTGTGGGAATGTGTTGACCATTGTGAGAAGGTCCATCCTAGGAAGCTAGGGCAGATCCGGAAACTGGACACTGGATTTTTACAGGGTGACCTTCGAGAAAAAGAATGTTGATAACTTTGCCTTCTTTACGTTATGAGGCTTCAAGGAACCCATGGGTGGCATACCTGGTTAAGCGCTCAACAACTAGCTGAAAGATTGGTGGTCCCAACCCACCTAGAGGCACCTCAGAAGACAGGCCTGATGGGTCACAGCCTTAAGAACCCTGTGCAGCAGTTCTATTCTGTACACATGGGGTCACCATGAGTCAGAATCTACATAACCAACCACGAGAAAGGAAGAGGGTCAGGAACAGTGAGAGGCCCTTAGGGCCTTCAGGTTGAAGACTGAAGCCCCTGTCCGTCCGGGAAGTGGGAAGGACTCTTACGCTGTTTAAAGAATAACCACAGCGGTTTGGAAGGAGTGCTTTTCCTGCCAGATAGGATAGGCGTAACTAAGACAGACAAAACTCTGGAGGTTTTCAAGTACATTTGATTATGGTGGTGGGGCTTTTTCCACTATAAAGGGCAGAACATGGTATTTGAAGTTCAAAGAATTAGTGGCGTAGATGTTTGATTGGTAGATTACGATTTAAGTATATTTTCTTGTGAGGCATGACCATTCTTTCCAGGATAAATCAGGAATAAGATGTTGAGGTGATACTGTGAATGGAAGACAGTCAAGGCATGAAAGGAAGGCTTTCTAGAATGTCAGGATTCATTATCTTTCTGAAAGCCAGTAAATATTGTGAATCCAGTAGTGTGCTAAAACATAGTGACAGAATCTGCTGGTGACAGGCTTTGTCGTCATTGATTGCATGATCCTGGTAGGAAAGGCCAGACACCGTTTAAGGTGGCGTTCATCGCCCTGTTGATTAGTGTGCTTTAGACTAAGCCATTTTACGAGCCAGGTGAAGGGAGCTATTTTCAAAATAAGTCAAGTAGGTAAAGATAAAGGGTATCTTCAAATTCTCGGAGGTTGCCATCATCAAACCACCAGTACTTGGCAGAACAATTGGAGCTACTATTGAGATTTAAAAACCAGTTTCATTATATTTGTATTTTTTAAATAGTAAAATTCAATTACAGAGGAGTTTGTATTAGTATGTAGTAAGTTGATGTATACCTTACTTAAAATAACCTGGCTCAAAACCTAAAGAATGATGATCAGCGTGGCTGGAGTATCCCGGGTTGCTCAGACGGTTAGTGACTAGACTACTAACCATAGGGTTGGTGGCTCAAACCCACTCAGAGGCACTTTGGAAACGTAAGGCCTGGCTTCCAAGAGGTCACAGCCTTGGAAAGATACAGAGCAGTATCATGGATACTCTCTGCAGTTGGTCACCGTGAGTTCAAGTCAGCTTGACAGCAGCTGACCAGGAAAGCGTGCCCTAAGCTTAACTGACCAGATAAGTTACTTCATGGTTACATGTCATGTATTTCAGTCAGTGAAAAGCCATCTCTAAAAGCAGAAGTGTTTTCGTTTTGTTTTTCATTCAAGTTTTCTGTATTTAGACTAAATTTGGACTCGTGTTCTTGGATTATTCCACAGGTTTGAGTGACATTTCTCCATCTACAAGCTTACCACCTCTGGTTGAAGGCCAGCTACGCTGCTTTCTGAAACTTACTATTCCTAAAGTCATATGGAAGATTGCAAAGCCTCCTGCCTGTGTACTCGTCCGAGTGAGATGGTGGGGAGAGACATCAGATGGAACCCTTTTTTGTCCCAGGGATGCTTTGCAGACTGAGCCAAAAGCTGTGAGGACCACCACACGATACGCGATTCGGTGTGGTCCGAAGCAATTTACCTCTTATCTAACAGGTGTGTCTTTGTCTTACTAGTTTTCCTGCAGGTTTAATAAGCATGTAGTGAAGTTGTTGGATATAAATATTGTACACCTCGTATGTGCTGGGCAGTAGTAATTGTTGGAAAATAAACGAGGATTCCTGTAGGTTGTTGCACTAATGCGTGTAAAATATAGTAAGGGCCTGAAGTAAGCAATGGAAAAAAAGGCAATTATAGGCACATGATTGAGAAAAATTAGTAATGCCATAAAATAAATACTATTTCCCCTTATTCTATTTTGGTTCTATTAGTGGTTTATTCTTATTTTTTGTAGCATTTTCTGCCAGCTTTTTATCGCTGACAAATATCTACAGTGATTATTTCCCTTCATTTTTATACTAACCATTTGACTTCAGCTCTCCTAAAGAAGATTCGTGGACTTGGGTGTTTGCTGTTTGATTAGCCATATTCTCTTGCCCACACTTAACCAACAGTGTTAAGGCAATATGACGTTTACAATTTATACTATAAAACCTAAAAATTAAACCCTTGGGATGTATTTTTTCCCCTTGGGGTATATTTTTATGCAAGTTAAAAATGAAAGGTAATTAGCAGTTCTTCCGTAAAAGAGAAGATAAGTATGAGCACTCTGCTGACCAGCTTCTTCAAGCCAAAACTTTTCCATGCAGCAGGCTCCCATAAAGATCGATACTGCTTTCAGGCTTACAGACTTCATGAACTAATGTAAGTGCAAATACGAGTTAACTTGTGACCAGTCAGCAGCTTTGGGGCACAAAAACACGAATATCCATGTGGCCAGTCAGCAATGTTGAATATGACAGTCAAGTCTGATATTTATTTGAGAATCCTGTGATGTAACAGAGAATGCATTGACTTGGCGTCTGAACATTCTGGTTGCTGCCCCAGCTCTGGGATTTGGAAGAAATTGCTTTGCATTTCGAACTCTCTCTCTCCTCATCTGTAAGGAGGCCTGGTGATGTGGGTTAGGCATTGGGCTGCTAACCTGCAGATCAGTGATTCAAATCCACCCATCTCACCATGTCTGCTTCTATAAAGGTGAACAGTGTTGGAAACCCTATCAAAGGATCCCTGGGAGCTTGAATCAACTTTATGGCAGTGGGTTTGGGTTGTTCCACTCTCACCCTCATCTGCTGCTAACCACAGAGGTTTGCCAGGTCTAACCCATCAACAGCTTCATCGGAGAACGATGAGTCTTTGCTCCCATGCAGATTTGTGGCCTCAGAAAACCTGGGAGTTTTATTCTGCCCTAGAGGGTCACTCTTGAGTCCATCACTGAGATGGTTTCGTGGTTTAGTTTTTGGTTTTCCTCATCCGTAAAGTGCAATACAAATGCCCTTTCATCATCTAGATCAGGGGGTCCTCAAACTGTAAATGGGGCCAGTTCACTGTCCCTCAGACCCGTTGGAGGGCTGGACTATAGTTTTAGAAAAAACTATGAACAAATTCCTATGCACACTGCACATATCTTATTTTGAAGTAAAAAAACAAAAGGAGGAAAAACACCCGGTAGGCTGGACCCCTGCTCTAGGTTTTTGCATAAGGAGCAGCTTGATTGAGTGGGTACACATGTGTTCTCTTGGGAAACTGGAATCCTACTTCCATGCATGTGTAACGTTACTTTGAGCAAGCCACTTTATTTCCCTGGGCTTTAACTGAAGGGATTAGAAACCAAATATGCAAGCATCCACATTCCATGAGTACAGTTAGGGGAAAAAAATCATAAAGAAAATAGGATTTGGATAGAAGACAGATGAGCTGAACCTTATAAGTGATGCTTCAGCTGCAGAAACTAGCTTTCAGACAAGATCAAACACTAGTTCATAGGGTATGTATGCTAGCTGAAAACTTGGAGAAAGCATATCTGTCTCTTAGGCTGAATGTTACATGTGTGTTTTATCACTCTTATTTAAATTATATATACTCTTTTATGTGCATATTCCATGTAAGAGGAAAAAATGCAAAGCGTCCTAAATATGTTGTGACAAATTTGGCAAGAAGCCTGACTAGGTCCTGGTGGAGAGAAGGCGGCGGCACTGCACAAAGATTATAAAGGAACAAGGGGAGTGTGTCGCATATTTACAGTTAACAAAATACTTTCAAGCCCATCTAATTTGATGCTTAAAATAACCCCGTGAAAAAACCAGAATTGCTATATTGGATTCATTTGTCTATATCTCACCTTACTCTGGACAGTAGTTAAAGCATTTGCAAGAGTAGATTAAATTGCAACAGTAAGATTTTCACTTTAATTCATGAGAAAATATTTATTTAAACTTTCAAAATTTTAAAACATTTGTTTAAGGGAAAACATATTGTTGTTAGGTGCCTTCAAATCAGTTGTGACCAATAGTAACATCATGTACAACAATGAAACACTGCCTGGTCTTTCACCATCTTCACTATGGGTCCTATGTTTTTAGTCCATTGCAACCACTGTGTCAAGCCATCTTTTCGTTGCCCCTCCTTTGTCAAGCACGATGTCCTTTTCCAGGGACTGGTCTCTCCTGATAACGTGTCCGGAGTACATGAGACGAAGTCTCACTGTCCCCATTTTAAGGAGAATTCTGGCTGTACTTCTTCCAAGACAGATTCGTGTGTTCTTTTGGCAGTTCGTGGGACTTTCGTTCTTCTTTGCCAGCACCACAGTTGAAATGCACTGGGAGGAGTGAGAGGTAGCCTCTGAGAGGACAAGAGTGCATGCTCTGTGGCCTGTTTATCTGCACCGGGTATCATCTGCATTCTCTAGGTGAAGTATTTGAGGTCCAGTAAGTTAAGAGTTAGGTGGCCCTAACATCAACCCTAACTTCAGCGGTTTTCTGACTCCATGATTCTTAAAGTTTCTTCTGTTCCACACTCCCGCTAGAAACAGTCTGTGCTAAGTGACATTGCCTTAAGTCAGGTAACAGCCATTAATTAAGCCACCACCAAGTGCAAGGACGTTGTGCTGTGCTCTACTTGCAGTTCCCCTAGTCCTCATACAATGATCCCGTTGACATTCTGATGCTCCATTTGCAGGTAAGTGTGTCTTCTAAACAAGTAGCTTGTGAATATTGGTGCCAAGACACAATCACAAGTCTTCTAGTGGCAAACCCTGTATTATTTTCACTGCAGTATTAACCAAATGGTTTGTAAAATGAACTGCTTTCCAACTTTGATTTAAAGAAACATGCACAAATCATACTGTCCTGAAATGTTCTCAGACTCCAGATGCATGTATCCTATTCCTGTTGTGCCTTATGGCCAGAAGGGCATTAGATCTAAATGACTAGTTAAAAGAAACAGTTTATTGTTGGTAGGTGATGTTGCGTCACTCCCAACTCAAAGTGCCCCCTCTCTGCAACAGAATGAAACACTGCCCAGTCCTGCACCATCCTCCCAAGTATTGCTGTGTTTGAGCTCATTGTTGGAACCACCGTGTCAGTCCATCTTACTCACTGAGCCTCTACCACACATGATGTCCTTCTCCAGGACCTAGGCCCTCCTGATCCCATGCCTAAAGTAGGTGAGATGCAATGTCTCCATTCTCTGCTCTCAGGAGCATTCTGGCTGACTTCCTCTGAAACAGACTTGTTTGTTCTTCTGGCAGTCAGCGGTATATTCAGAGCTCTTTGTCAGCTCCGTTATTCAAATGCATCTTATTCTCCTCTGGTCTTCTTTATCCACCCCCACCCCCACCCCACCCCTGTGTTTTCATATTTGCACATGAACTGATTGCTAATATCAGGGGTCAGGGCCTCTTTAGTCTTCAAAATGGCATCTTTGCTTTTTAACATTTTGCAGCAGATGTGCTTAACACAGTACATCCTTTGATTTCATGACGACTACCATGAGCATTGAGTTTTGGATCCAACTAAAATCAAATCTTCGACAATTAAGTCTTTTCTTCACTTACCGTGCTGTTGCTTACTGATGGAGTGGTGAAACGTGGTGATGTTGTTGTGATTCTTACTGAAGGGTGTGGTCTTGAGTCTTCATCAGCAGGTGTTTCAAGTCCTGTGTGTGTCCTCTGCATATAGAAGTTGTTAGCAAGTCTTCTTCCAATCCTGATGTTGTGTGCATGGTCATGTAGTCCAGCTTCTAGGGTTATGTGCTCAGCATGCAGATTGAATAATTACGATGAAAGGATACAGCGCTGACTTACCTTTCCTGATCCTAAGCCGTGCAATATCCCCTTGCTCTGTTCAAATGATTGTTTCTTGTTCAAATGATTGTTTTTGTACAGGCTGTGCATGGACATAATTAAGTATGCATGAAGACCCATTCCTTGTAGTGTTATCGATAATTTGTTATAATCCATACAGTTGACTACCTTTGCATAGTCAATAAAACACAGGTAAACACTTTTCTGCTGTTCCTTCTCTGCTTCCAGCCAGATCTATCTGACATCCGTATTTCCACTTCTAGTTCAAGACTCCAGGCAACCAGGGGAATCCAGTCTCTGTGCCTCGAATATACCCAGGAGTAAGCACTGAGATGATCCCACTAGAAGCAGGAGAAAGCTGAGACAGCCTGCTCCTGAAAGACGAGGCTCAGAGCCACTGCGGAGCAGTTAGCTCTCTGCTGCTCTAGAAATGATGAGACGGACGAAACAGATTTATTGCTTTTAGATTTAAAATACAAATCCTCAAGTTCTTGGCAAATAAATGTAACATTTTCTGATATATCGTCTTTACTTATAATGCAAGGTGACCAGATTTAAAGCGGGACACCATTGACGGGGCGGGGGGGGGGGGGGGGGTGTTCTTGATTAAAAATTTGGTCTATGTGGACCAGATAGACTGTTCCCTAGCTTGTCGTGCATTCTTTCCAAAAATCGGGACTTTTTTAAAACGCCAAAAATCCGGACTGTCCCGCCACCTTATTGTTAAGCTGATATTTCTATTTAAAGTAAAAGTGTTTTCTAATGGGCATGCCTCTGTTGACTTTGAAAAAAGATGTGGGAAAATATCCGAGTAATTTGTTCTTGTTTTTGATTAGATATGGCTGTGCTGGTCCTGGACGTCATCACCAAAGTCGACCGTCTTCCAGTCGGCAGAGTTCAGATCAGTGGACTAGCCCAGCTTTCTCCAACCCATCAGATCAATGGCTGCTTTACCATTGTTTCACCAACATCTAAGAAACTTGGAGAACTCCAGGTAAAAATACATTTCAACTCTTTGCTCCATAGAATAAAACTTTTTGAGCAGAAATAATTGAGTATCTTTATAGAAGAGGTGCCTACATGACTCCTGTATACCATGCTAATTCCCATTCAGTGTCCTTGCTCATGTATTTATTCAGATACCTTTGGCCTCCCCTGTTTTTGTTTGCTTGTTGTTGTTTTTATATATATAAAAGCTCTCAGTGGCTTACATTAATGCCAGTCAAGTCTGATCAAATTATTGCCAACATGATGAATGTTAGAGCATTACCCATTGTGTTAGTCTGGGTACTTTAGAGAAGCAAATCCACAGAAACTCATGTATAAGAGAGAGTTTTATATAAAGGTTAAGTGCGCATCAAGGAAACATCCCAACCCAGTGCTGCCCAAGCCCACGAGTCCAACATTAACCCATATGCCCAACACCAGTCCACAAGTCCTCCTCCATCTCCCAAAACAGATGCAATGATGCCGACTGCAGGAGGAAAGCCAAGTCAGTGAACGTGTAAGCATCTCAGCACTGGCAGGGTCTCCACACGGCTGCTCCAGCACTCAGGGCTGCATTGGAGTAGTCCAGGCGGCTTCTCCTTGGAGATGTCCTGCAGGACAAGTGAGCCTTGGCCCCTGAAGCAAGGAACTAACTGGCTAAGGCAGCTGCACCCTGGTCCGACCATCGGAAAGCAGGAGACCAGAGAACTAGAAAGGCGAGGCTCATTTATCCCTCCGCCCTTCAATTAACCCCACGTGTTTATCGGCCAGGTTGGCACAATAAACTAACTACCTCACCCATCAAAAAGCATGTTTTACAAATGATCGTGGCAGCAGCCAAGCATTACCAGCCAACATTGACAATTTATAGTGTTCAGGGAAGTGATTATCCAAGCATTTAATATTTCAGTTCATTCTTTGTGTTGCTAAGTTATCTATAATTTGTTGACAGGACCACTGCTAGCCCATGGACACTTTTCTGAAATTAGAGAAACATGTTCACATCCAGCAGGCAGTCTCGCAGGCATACACTGGCTGGAATTCGCTCTCTGCCTCACCCCTTCAGCTGGGCATCCCGGCAGTCCCCATTTACTGAGTAGTTTCCCATGTCAGAAACCAGATTGGGCAATTCGCATACCTTGTTGCCTCATTCAGTTCTCTTACCCAACCTTCAAGGCAAACATATGAACCCTAGTTTACTGCGGTCTAGAGAAGTTAGGAACCTGTCTAGATTGCACAGTTAAGTAAATGGTGACATCAGGATTCGCATCCATCATCAGAAGAGACTGGAGGGTTCTGCTGTACCTGAAGGGAAGACAGAAGACACCCTTTCTTGTTTTTCCAAATACCCAAATTCTTAGTGCTTATTTTTCCAAACTTCCTCTGGTTTCAGTCTTTCTCAGCACCTAATTTACTCACTCTTCTCTGTACTCTATTAAATTTGCAATACCATTAATTACATAATCATTGTTCTAATTATACTTCTACATATCCTTCAAACTTATGCATTAGTAGTCTCCCTTTAATTTGTATAGTATATAGGTTCCCTGCGAGGCAAGACTATGGTTTCTTTGTTTTTCCCACCATCCCTAACATAATGCCAAGCAATAAATACTTGTTTGACTCATGTAAGTAGTGTCTTTGATGTATTCGTTCATTGACTCAGCTCACTGTTATATACCAGGAATTTAGGATATAGAGATAAAAGAGGTGGTCTTTATATTTAGTTTTCCAAAACCCTGCTGGAGGAAGGAGAGAGGTAACGGGTGATGCATAGTGTGCTCTAGGTCCGCACTGGATACTGAGGGAGAGCCTGGAAGGACGGACCACTCATGGACTTTTCAAGAACTGCTTAGTGAATTCAGAATAGGTAGATCCCTTAGAAATAAGGAGTCGGAGATTGAAACCTGGCAAATATATTCTGAAATTCACATAGAAAAAAATTAAGTGGGTAGGTATGAAAGTCATCTAATAAAAATGAATTGAAAAATATAGAAGACTGGGACAGATTGTTCATTTCTCTCCAAATAAATTTTACAAAACTACAGTCATTAAAGAATGAGTAAATTGAGTCACATAGAGTTCCTTGTGAATGCACTTGCAGGTGAGTAATCAAATTGTTCAGAGGTTTTTATGTCAAATGAATGGGGAGCTATATTTGATTCATCGCTAGTGTTGGTATGAGACCAGGATTTCACCTTGGACATGAACCAGAGACTAATTTTAACTCAAGCTAAAATACTTCTTTAAAACTCCACCCTAAGCTGCCTGATAGCTATGTAAATCCAATATCAATAATGTCTTCAAAAATCATAAACTACATCCCTGAAACTATTGCCTTGAGATCATCTTTAAACCATAAACATTCCCAGAAGTCTTCTCAAAACCAAGCAGTAGTTTCACTGAATTAGTAGAAAACACCCTCATGGAGTATGATATTCTTTTAACAATCTTGTGAGATCCAGTGTGTAACAGTTACTTGAGGGGAATCTTAGAGGGCACTGAGTAGGTAATGAGGGAGGAACAGTTCAGAAAAGGAGGGTGAGAATAGTCACATAACAAGCATGTAGTCGGTGTCATAGACATGGTTGAATTGGTATATGTTTTGCTGTATATATTTTCAGCAACAGCAAAAAACTTAAAACCAAACCATAAACTACTAAAACCCACCCAAGATTAATTAGCTAAACAGGACTATGATTATTATTTTTTGAGATGAACTTGTCACTAAAGACTTCAAACCCATTTCAGTTTTTCTTTTTCTTTTTTTAAGGGGGGTGGGGAGGCAGACCTATAAGTATTAAAGAAATTGCATTTGTAGTTAAAAACCTTCCTAAAAATAATCTCCAATCACAAAATAATAATTTATAAATTAACTAGGGTTCATGAGGGGGAGATGGGAGCAGGGAGGGAGGGGAAAAATGAGGAACTGATGCCAGGGGCTTAAGTGGGGAGGAAATGTTTTGAGAATGATGAGGGCAATGAATGTACAAATGTGCTTTACACAATTGATGTATGTATGGATTGTGATAAGAGTTGTATGAGCCCCTAATGAAACGATTTTAAAAAGAAAGAAAAGAGAAGGGGAAAAAAAATCTCCAGGCCAAGATAACTTCGCTAGCAAATTTAAAGACAGAATATTACAATTCCATGCAGAAAGTACTCTCGACTTACTTTTGGCTAGAACTACTTGGATACCAAAACGAGACAGAGACACTACAATGAAAGCAAACTACAAACCAATATCTTACACATAGCTGGATGTAAAATCCCTTAACAAAATATTAGTAAGTTGAATCCAACAATATGGAGAAAGAAGAAAATCACCACAACCAGGTGGAGTTTTTCCCAAGAATGGAAAGCAGATACAGTGTTCAAAAGCCCGTCAATATCACACAACATATTAACAATGAAATACTACTGAGTTGAAAAAAAGGTGAACTCTTAATATATGCAACAAAGTGGCTGACTCTCAAAGGTGTTTTACTGAGTGAAAGAAACCCATCTCAAAGTTACCCCTCCAAGCCCCTCTTTAATGTTCCCTAGCACCAAGTATATATCTTTGTCTAAATTTATCACTTTATATTGAAATTATCACCCTATAAGTTGCTCTGCAAAATACTATGCTGCTCTGGGTCCAGTTCCATGTATTTGTCATTGCTATGCCAGCAGCAGCAGCTGCTGCAGGGACGGCTTCAATAAATATTTAATTGAATGGAAGTAGGACAACCCTCTGTTTTGATTGGAAGTTGGGTGTGGCGGGTGCCTGTACCTCTCCAACCCTTTTTTCAAAGGGCCAGTGGTAGTCTAGGCCTTTGAGTTGTTTTGTTAAGGATTCAGATCTGCTTAAAAAGCAAAGCTCAGTGTGGTCAGTCAACAGGCTGCCATTAGGCCAGGACCGCAGCCATTATAATCAGTGCCTCCTTTGTAGAAGACCAGTGGCAGTCATTTGGCAAGGGATGGATGGGAAAGGAAGCACTCTCTGGCATTTAGGTTTGGGCAGCCAGGTTTTGCGTGATGCTCCCACAGTGATCCCTGCACAGAGTTTTTGTTCTGCACATTCTTTTCATTTGTCTTTAGAGAAAACCTTGACGATGAATAGGTTCAAGGGCCTTTATGTTGTTTGGTCCCTGGACAGAATCCACATCAACAGTCAGAAGTACTTTGTTGAGCCTATTCCATGGCAGTTGCACTGCATACATTGCTCCATTGACCTTCCCAGAGACAGCATATAATAGCTCATTTCAGTCGTGCGTTTTTGTGCTAGGCCATCCATCACGATTTAAGTCTTGGCTGCATAAACAATCCTCTGTCACCGAAAGTGAAGGCTGACAGCTGCTGTGTCTTCTTTTGGAGCGTTTGCTCCAGTTTCTCCTCAGGTTTTGTTTTGGCTCTTTGTTTTATTTTTTATTTCTGTGTTATGCTTGTGTATTAGAGAGCCTAAACTCTCAGGAATGACATAATCAAACTAAAAAGTGATAACCCTTTCAGTTTAGTGTTCCTCCCATCTGCCCTGTTCCCTTCCCCAAGCCCCAGCATAGAACAAGGGCATTATTTTTTCCAGGCAACTAACAGAATGCAGAAAGTGCTGTACTTTTTTAAAAAATACATAAGTCATCTATGTGCATGTCAAGTAACTTCTAATGAATCCATAGGAAAATTATATAAGACAGTGTATACCTTCAAGGATTTATGACCTAATTGTGGTGATAAATAAACTGAAAGTTAGATACACACACCTAGGCCTCAGCTTTTTGTCATTGCTGGTTTTGTTTCATTTAAAATTTTTCTCACTACTTTCCTGACAGGGTTATATCCTCACGTGAGCCTCTGTGTGTGAGGAACTTAGCATGGTACCTCGCCTGTAGGGAATTGTTCCATAAATGGTATCAGTTACATTGAAGGGTAGATTCAGTGTGTACAAACATGGAGAAAGGACTTTGCCTGGACATAGCAACAGTGTTTTCACTGAGGTGGTGATGCTGAAGGAAACTGCATATACAAAGGCATACAGGAGTGAAATATAAAGTTCATGTCAAGAACCCTACTTCCTGACTGTATCTAGGAGAGAGGGATGAAGGGGTACATACAATGAGAGATAGTCAGGAGGTTTTGGCTTAATTCTAGAAGGTATGGGCCATGACTTTATATTAAGTGAGTGGGGTTGGGGTATAAAATTAATCAAACAGTGCTCATGAAAAATTTTGATTTATAAAACCCTCTTTCAGGTCTCACTAGCCCTGGAGCCTTTGTCAGAAACATATGACAGCTACAATCCTCTTCCTACCACGGACATGACTGAAAACATGCTTTTATCTGAGCCAGCATTCAGAGGGAATATTGAATCCAGCAATACCCAGTTTGCCGTTCCTGCTGAGCCTCATAGAATTCCGACCACCAAAATTGAAGAGAAAGAGTTAGCCGCCAACAGTAGTAGGTCAACAACTCCAAGGTAAACAGCACCGTGAATACCAACAGAACTGTCAGCTAATTCCTGCTGTACTCATAATGTCTGCTTTTGATTTGTAGCTGAGAAAAGACGAAAGGAAGAGAGTTATTCAGCAAACACATACTAAGTACCTAATTAATAGTTCCTGGATCGTCCAGATACTGGGCATAACAATCATAAAAAACACTTCTATTTTCAAGGACTACTCACTAACTAGTTGGGATGCAGACATAAAAGTAAATTAAGAACAACTAATTGATATCTATAGATAAAAAGAATATCATGGAGGCAGTGTCTGACCTCCTCTGACTTAATAAGAGCTCATCAGCCCAAATTAATTCCTATGAGGCAGAGTTTAGACATCCCTCCCTCCTCCCTCTAACCTTCAAATACTTATACCAACCATCCCTCCCAAAGTACTCTCAATTTTCCCCCTGGGTATGATAATCTGTTTGCCTGGCCACACAGAGCTTATAGACCAAACTCACAATTACAGAATTTATTAGGGAAGTTAATAGGTTATAATTCAAGATCAGAAATGCTCAGGATACAGTTCTTCCAGTCAGGAGTATTGCCTTTTCAACCATTCCCACAGGCATACCCTTCTCTGTTCCTCAGTCTCTCAACCACTTGGCTCCTTGACTTCTGTCCTGCTCAAGTAAGTTTTACAAAGCTTTTTTTTAGCACTACCATTAAGTGCCCAGAGGGCATGCCACTCCATCATACACTTCTACTCAAGGACTCTTAGCTCTAGCTCTGCGGGTCAGCAAGCCTGGTTCTCTCAATTCAGTGTTTGCAAGCACCCCACTCAAGCAAACCTCCTGCCAGAAGGCATTCAACTTACTTGCACCATGGGCCAGGATGCCAGCTCTGCCTTGTGCTCTTGGTACTGTTGCCTCTGCTGCTACTACTATTCTGTCTCATCGCAGGTTCATACTTCTCTGTCTCCTGGATGAGAAGGTTTCAGATCCAAAGGTCGCACTTCACTCCTGGCTTTTCTTTTAGTCCTTCATTCCTGCTTCTGAGATGGTTCATTTTAAACCTAAGAGGATGACGAAACTGACCAATCCCCTCATTATAGTCCCATATATCTTATTTTCATGGTCTCACCCAGTCACTTGGTGGAAATTACAAAGACCATGGCTAGAGGGGCCATATTAAATAATCCACTGCACTACAGATGCTCTGATAGATGTCCAAGAGAAACAAGAGAGTGGTGAAAGAGAACAGAGTAAGAGAAATTGGTCTTTGTTTAAATAATTATTTACTAGACACTGGATGAACTCTTTCATTATCACTTCAGCCATAGTTCAGGGTAAAACATCTATTATTTCCTCATTCGGGAGATGAAAAACAGATTTGCAAAGTCACATAGCAAATACCTAAATCATCGCTTTCCGAGTCCACACTCTGCTATAACCCCTAATCCCTTTTCTTTCTCTTATTAAGTAGGATGGTAGTGGAATTTGGTAACATAACTGCTAAAATTCTCTCTTCTTTTAAAAACAGGGGAAAGGACCTTTTGTACTTTGCAGAGAACTCTGATGCAATAAAAGATTCTCCCTTTGGACTACAGCGCCTTCTTAATTCAGGACAGAGTGTAGAGTCTGTAACTCTGAAAGGCGAAGCTCCGCGGAAACAGATGTCTCTTCTCAACAGTTCTGAATTCCAGCCTCACACTGGGACAGTGGCCAAGAGTCGCAGTGACTCATGCATTCTTTCTTCAAACAATCCTCCTACCAAAGACCTTCTTTCAGGTATATATAAATGTGTATATAATTCCATATTTTACCTAGGATGCGTGTTTGTCCATTTGAGAACTGAGACTAAGCTCTATTTATTGGGATTATTCTGCTCATTAGCCAGTCTACATAGAAAACTAAGACTTCTGCTTAAACTATAAATGGCCAAATAAAAGTGAGTAATCTTGCCTCACTCCAAAATCTTTCACCATTTAAAGGCAACCCTTTTAAACTAAGTAACGGCTAAATAATTACTAGACACTTAACAATTATAGGTTGGGGAAAAGAACCATTTAAATGAAGCAGATAGGGGAGAAGAATCTTGTTTGGAGAAAAATCTTTATTGCCCTTCTCTTTTTTTCCCCCAAATAGTTTAAGGCAGTAATATGGAAACATTCCCTGCACAGCAAGTGCTGATGTTAAGTCTAGAAATTAAATGTCTCAGGCCAGACTTCTCCTAAAACAGAAGTTGAACGAATCCATTTGCCCTTTTCAGAGTTTAGACTGAAATAAAAAGCCAAGAGGAACAAAATTAGACCTAAGCCAGGTGAGAGAGAGTAGAATGAAAGCAGTTGAGGTACCTGTGTCACAATGAATGGGGTCGTCAACCATGGAGTTCTCTGACTGAGGGACATGGCAGCAATCTGTCTCCAGAGTACGTTATCTGCCGTCTAAAAGTCTTCTAAATAACTACTTGATGACATAACTCAGATTAGTAAGGATTTAATTCAGTAGAAATGTCTATGATCCATTATATGTATGTAGTATATGTGTGTGTGTGTGCCAAAATTAGAAGATTTTAGTCTTTAATGTAACTTTAGGCTTCATTAGCAAGAAAGAGTACCATCCCACTATATGCAGCACTAGAATAGTGCACCTGGGCGCCAGACACCAAAAAACATATTAATTCATCCATTCAGTCCTTATTTATTCAGGACCTACCAAGTATCTGGCACTCTTCTAGGAGTTAGGAATATAGCATTAGAAAAAAAGGGCCAGTTTTTTTTCTAAATCATACATCCTAATGTGGAAAGATTGATGACAAGCTGCATAAAGCAGTAGTTTTCTTATGCTGTCAAGCAAGTTCCAACGCATAGCAACCTACATGTGCCCAGAATAAAACACTGCCCGGTCCTCTGCCAGCCTCACCGCTGGTGGTGGGGCCCATGGTTGCAGTCACTGTGTCACTTCACCTCACGGAGGGGCTTCCTTTTTCCACTGACCTTCTGCCAAGCATGGCATCCTTTTCCAGGGACTGGTCTCTCCTGGGAACATGCTCAAAGTATTGCCATCCTGGCTTCTAAGGAGCATTCTGGATGCTTTTCTTCCAAGACGGTGCTTGTTACTTTGACAGTCTATAGCACTGTCCTCTGTTCTCTAGCATCATAGTGCAAGTGCATCAACTCCTCTTCTTCGGCATCTTCCTTGTTCATTGTACAACTTTACATACATAGGAGGTGATTGAAAATGGTATGGCTTAGATCAGGTTCACATTTAGTCCTCAAAGTGACATCCTTGCTCTTTAACACTTTATAGTGGTCTTGTGCAATAAATTTGCCCAATGCAGTGGGGGGAAATTAAGAGAAGGGGACGTGAGTTTTACTTATATTGGCAAAGGGAGGCCTCACTGAGAAGGTAACATCAGAGTAAAGACCTAAAGACGATGACTTTCTCCTAGGAGAGTAACTAAGAAGATGACGGGGACCACCAACAGAAAATATTTAGCCTGAAGCAAACAGTAGTGGTTACGTGTTCGAAATCACCAGCAGCTCCTCGGGAGAAAGAGGACCTTTCTACTCTCGTCAACATTTGGTCTCAGAAACCCACAAGTGGGTCAGTGTAGGTCATCATTGATGAGATGGCAGTGAGTTTGGTTTGGTTTCGGAGTTCTGTGCTAGCTATTATACTAAGTGCCTTACAGACATAATCTGTTATAACCTCACAAAACCCGTAGAAGGTAGGGATTATTTATTAGCTCCATTTTAAAATTACAGCGCAGGCTCAGAGTTTCTAAGTGACCTGTTGAACCCTCTTTGAGGTATCATTGTGGATGAAGACCCGTGGATGGATTGACACAGTGGTTGCAACACCGAGCTCAAACATATCCATGTTTCTGAGGACCAGGCGGTGTGTGGTCTTGTTGCACAGAGTTGATAAGAGTCAGATCCAGTTTGTTGGCACCTCGGGGACAAAACAAGCATAACTGTCACAGAGCAAGGCAAGGGCAGCAAGCAGGGGAGCCCGTATTCTGTCAGAAAGCAGCTGTTCCCAACTCCAGTTCATTATTCTCTTAGATTCTAATTAACTGATTAATAATTGGTGCTCGTCAATCAAGCAGGTTAAATAAAATATGGGCATAATCTATAGGCTGCCACTCTTTGACTCCTCTTCCATCAGTGTTAGTAGGATCAATGGGCTTAAAGATCAGATGGATTTTCCCTCAGTCTGAATTAATAATCCAGCTGGCCCACAGATGGGAAAGGACTGCTCATAAGAGGCAGTTGATTTCACATCCCTAAAAATGGTCAAACATTGGGCTAACTAACCTCCTGATAGGACTTTCCGAAATAGTTGGATATGATCTTTAAAGGGTCCTGTTAACCATCAGATTTGGGAGCACTAAGATTTAAATGGGCCACTTTAATAGGTCCAGAGCTAAGGTCATGAGAGGAACACACCAGATACCTCTTCCTCTTCTTCAGTGTGGGTTAGGTGTTGGACTGCTAACTACAGGGTCAGTGGTTCAAACCTACCAATGACTTCTTGGGAGTAAAGGTTGACAGTCTCAGAAACCCTATGTAGGCTCATTATGTTGGAATCTACTTGATGGCAGTGGTTTTGGTTTTCTTCACTCAGTTATCTAACATGATACTAGAAAATAGAGCACAGAGTTAAATCAGTCAACTAACTAGTATTTATTAACTACTCACCTGTTTATAAGAGTTGGGCTTGTAGGATTGATAGTAGGGCACTAATGAGCCTTGGTGGCGTAGTTGAATGGTGCCTGCTTTTATCAAGTTATCTTAAGCACCGGTCCCCATTCTGATGATTGGTTGTTATTAGTCTGGGTACTTTAGAGAAACAAATACACAGAAACTCATTATAAGAGAGAGTTTTATGTGAAGGTTACGTGCATACCAAGAAAACATCCCAACCCAGTGCTGCCCAAGCCCACAAGTCCAAAAGTCCAACATTAACCCGTATGTCCAACACCAGTCCACAAAGTCCTCCTCCATCTCACAAAACAGAGGCAATGATGCCGACTGCAGGAGGAAAGCCGAGTCAGTGAATGTGTAAGCATCTCAGTGCTGGCAGGGGTCTCCACACGGGTGCTCCAGCACTCAGGGCTGCATCAGGGTAGGTCCATGTGGCTTCTCCTTGGGGATGTCTTGCAGGAAGTCAGCCTTGCAAGCTGGAGCATGGAACTGCTAAGACAGCTGCACTCTGGTGCGACCACAAATCAAGAGACCCGAGAACTCGAAAGGCGAGGTTCACCAAGCCATTTATCCCTCCGCCCTTCAATTAATCCCCACTTGTGTTTATCGACCAGGTTGGCACAATTAACTAACTCATTGGTCGATTCTGAAAATATTTCTCAACAAGGAGTTTATATTACCTGATGAAATCTTTGGAGTGTTGTATTTTGTGTCAGTCATTATTCTGAAAATTAGGCATACAAAGAAATATGGTACAGTCTCTGCCTTTAGGGAATTCAGTGTAATAAAGGAGGCCACTTCTAAAGGAAATCATTATAGTTAAGGTGTGATATCTGTAACAGTGAAAGTCCTCGTCTGTTTGAAAACATGATCTCCAACGCCTGATCGGCATTGCCCAGGCACGAGGTATACAAAGACCAAAAGGAGCGCATCCCTACATTCAGTGGACTGGGAGAGACAGACATGCACTGCAGGATAAATTCTTTTTTTTTTTTTTTAATTGATAATTTTATTGGCAGCTCTTACAGATATAACAGTCCACAAATCAATTGCATCAAGAAAACTTGTACCGATGCTGCCATTATGGTTTTAAAAACATTTTCTTTCTACTTGAGCCCCTTGATATTGGCTCCTCTTTATTCCTTCCCTCCTCCAAGGATAAATTCTTTGACCCAGGTCAATATCAGGAACTCTGAGAGCACAGAGGAAGTACTCCATTGACGGAATTAAAGAAAGTTTGGTATGGGTAGATTATAAACACCAATGCTGTCGTCACTCTTGAAAGGTCTTGGGTGTCAGCAGAAAAATTATTTTTTACATGACTGATAACTAGTGGAATTTATTATTGGCACTGCTTGTCATTAACCTCCATTCATATTTATTGAGCTCAACAGCCTCACTAAGGAAATTTAAACTGTATCCCATAAAGCCAAGTGCCAACTAGAAATTCAGAGGATCTTATCATAATACCGTTTCTTTAGTTGAAGAACTTCGATTTCAGTCGGCTTTCCAAAGCCATATTTTTCTCACTCTTTATCAGTAACTAAACAAGGTAGTCATTTTCCAGCTGAATCCTAAAGTTTAAAGAAAAAATTAAAAGTAAATATATATACGGTGACTTTTGATTGGAATACTATGCAACTATTGACAGAAAAAAGCTAATGCAAATTCAGTGTGAGAATTCAGTTACAATGTATATGATACCCTATTTTTAGAAAACAAAAGTGTATGTCCATGAACGAGTATATGCATGCATAAATTAAATCTTTAATAGATATATGGAAGTGTAACCATGGATATTCCTGAATGGTGATATTAATGGGTATATTAAAGTTCTGTTGTTGTTATTATTTTAGTGACTTAAAAACCACCCTTTTTTTTGGTTCTCAGTTGTGTAGGTCAGAAGTTCAGCTTGGTGTCGTAGAGTTCTCTGCTTAGAGAGTGTGTTAGGCAGGGTTTTCTAGAGAAACAAAACCAGGACACTTATGGTTATACATCTATATATACACATATATACATACATATATACATATACATACATATATATACAGCATGAAGGAACATAACAGCTAATTAGTCCACAGCAGTACAAAGGGCTCAGTTCAATTCACATCTGTGGAACATTTAATATACTGGAAGTCCTTCAAGTCGAGGACTGCTGGGTCCAAGGTCAAGGAAGCAGACAGCTGAGCCTTCCCCTCAAGCAATGCAAGCAGAGTCCGCCTACAGGCAGCAAACAGCAGGGAGGGTTACCAACAGCCCACAGCTCAGAAGCTCAGTGGAGCAGTCCTGGATAGAATATCGAACTCAAGCATTACAGGGCGACAGGATCCACCAGCCTCAAGCCCAAGGGATACACACCAGCAGTGTGGAGAAGCAGCTATCGAAGGAGCCCTCAAGCTCTAGCCACACGTTCCACCAGTTGGCTGTCCCACAGCTAAGTGTAGCTCACAAGTTGAGGCAAAGAACTAGCTAAAGCAGCCGCATGCAAGTCCAATCACCAGAGAGCAAGAGAGGGGGCAGACCGTGCAGAGCCATTTATCTCTTTGCCCTCCAATCAAACTGCGACCTGATTAATCCCACATGTTCCTACTGGCCAGGTTGGCACAATAAACCTACCTGTCACAGAGGATCACTAGGTGTCAACTGGGATCAGGTCTGCTCACCAAAATACTCTCCCAGTTTTAAGAGGTGAGTTGACTTGAGACCTTACTTAATCTACAAAGTGACATTTATAACAGTACCTAGATTAGTCATTAAATCACTTGAAGAAAGTATATGCACACCAGGAGATGGGAATCTTGGTGGCCTCAAAATTCTGCCTACCAGAGGGTGATCTTATTATGCTTTTACTTTAGTTGTAATTCTCACATCATCCATTGAACACAATATCTAAGTAATTTTTCCAAGTATTTCTGCGATGTTAAATAAATGCTAGGGATTGATGGATCTCTTAGATTCCCCGCACCCCCTTGGCCGGATTCTTTCCTGTGATGGCTAGAAGCTATCAATCTTTTGAGCAGGAGGTGTGCACTTGCTTTCTGGTCCAACTTACCTTCTAAGCCGCTGTAGAGCCTCAAGAACTGACGGTGCTTCCCAGATTCATACCACTGTTCCTCGGAAGCAGCCCACGCTTCCTCGACTTTTAAAGGAAGCCTAAGAAATTAAGCAAAACCATAGATAGCTTGCTGGTTAAAAACATAGACTGTGGCATCATTCTGCCTGTGTGGTGTACCCAGGTATTACTTAGCCAAATTAATTACTATCTTTGCCTCAGTTCTTCACCTAGAAAACGAGGGAAATAGTTGTGCCCATGTCAGATGACTATTGAGAGGATTATATGAATTAATGTTCATAAAATACTTATGAACCCATCACATGGTAAAACCCCAAAATTCAAACCCAGTGCCATCAAATGCATTCCAACTCAGCAATTCTGTATATAGTTTCCAAAGTTGTAAATCTTAACCGGAGCAGATAACCTCATCCTTCTCCTGAAGTGGCTGGGACATTGAACCGCCGACCTTTCAATTAGTTCAGTGCTAAACCAATAGCACGTGGTAAGGGCTTCATAAACATTACCTGCTACTATTGTTATCTGAGGGTAGGGTAAATTTTAGCAGTGGGAAAGTCTCAAGACGGGGCTCCAGTCTAACTTTTTCATAGCCTGCTACAGAATCTTGGACAAGTCTTAGAAATTTTCTGGCATTCATTTTTTCATCTATAGAGGTATAAGATTAAAATCACTATAGTTCCTCGATATTTAGCTTGAATAGTTGTGTTTATTGGATAAGAATGTTATTAAAACTTAAAAATAATAAGAGAATGCACTAATGTGCCTAGATACAAAAACAATACATAGACATCACTAAGCTTATTATAGACAAATAAAAACGGGCAGATTAAGTGAATGGCTATAACAAATCCACTCACTCACTGCCACTGAGTGGATGCTGACTCATAGCAACCCTGTAGGACAGAGTAGTACCGGCCCTGTGGGTTTCCAGGAGTTCACAGGAGTAGAAAGCCCATCCTTCTCCCCTAAGGAAGTTAGTCTCTCCAAAATGGAGACTTTGGTCACTGCTGTCATATCAGCTCACACAGTCACAGCATTGTACATATTTGTTGTTGTTAAGTGATCATCCCCAAGGAATTTTCAAGGTAGTGGGAGTGCAGGAAAATTCGCTGGCAAAAAGTTTGTGGGAAAATTCCATTGTCTTTTGATTCTGTTTTTCTGTGAACGCTTTGAAGCCTCTTCATACTCTGTGATGGAAGGAAATCCACTGAGCATTGCAAGTGACTGCTGGTTTTAGATTGTCTGTGTCCTGCTTTTCCCTGTTCAGTTTTGTTAGAACAAGGCAGTAAACTGCGCAACGCCATGGTGGTTTCTGCAATGAAGTCAAGCCCAGATACTAGCATGTTGTTGGACGAGTGTCATCCTCCTAGGAAGGAAGAGCCTCTGAGAGCAGCAACGCAGTAAGTTACAGGATCGACATGACCTTCAGCCTCACATTTTATATTACTTCCTGCTCAGAGTTTTTTTGTCAAGTTATAAAATCATTTTAACACTTCAAATAATCCTTAATGTAGTGGAAAAGAGTTCTCAAGATATTCATTGACACTAAATGTGTAAATAGATAAATTCTTTCCTTCCTCTGAACTTTCATGTTTAAATTGTGGGAATATTCTCTCCATCCTATCCCACAAAAATGAAATGGGATTTCAATGTGGGAAAGAGCTTTATAGAGAGTACAGTTTCCTATAAGGGTTCCAACATAGCCACGCTGGTGAAGATGGCAACTGCTGTTCTGATGTTCATAGGGTCACCATGGTCCGACCCAACTCACTGGCACCTACCCTGTTTTCCCGAAAGTAAGACATCCCCCCGAAAATAAGACCTACTTACAGTTTGCCTCTCGCTGAAATAGAAGGCATCCCCCCGAAATAAGGCCCCCTGAAGCTACCGTAACTCTGGACTATAGTGGTGGGCAGCGCCGCGCAGCTCACTGTTGGCTGCAGTGCAGCTGGAGCAGACGGGAAGTGCGAGGTCTCTTTTAATAAAACAATAACTGTGGACCGTATTCTTCATAGAAAAATAAGACATCCCCTGAAAATAAGACCTAGTGCATCTTTGGGAGCAAAAATTAATATCAGACACTCTTATTTTCGGGAAAACAGGATAACAACAACACTGACTGTTAAGTTTCTTAAAAACCACAGGAGAGAACGCCATCCCTTCCACCCCTTGACGACCTCCAGTGTGTCAGGTTTGCACTGGATGGTTTTTCAGAAGTAGACCATCGGGTGGACTCGAACCTCCAGCCTTTCTGTTAGCAGTCAAGCACATTAATTATTTGCACTACCCTGGGATGCTGTTAGGTTTAAAGTATATGTAATTTCCAGTAGTGGACTAGCTTCATGTGCTTTTATCTTTTTAATCATTTTATTGGGAGCTCTTACAGATATCATAACATTCCATAGTTCAATCACATCAAGCAGTATTGTACAATTGCTACTCCAATCAGTTTCAAAGCCTTTTCTTTCTTCTTGAACTCCTTGATATCAGCTTCCCTGTATCCCCTCCTTACCCTCCAGGAATCCTTATTAATTTTTTCCTAATAATAGTTTATTTTTGACCATGTCTTATACAATCCAATATATCCATTCACATACAATTCTGTTGTTCAGTCCCTTCGAGTGGGATTATGCAGTCATCAGTGCTATCAGCTTCCTGTTCCTCCTTCCTTCCCATCTCTTCCCATACCCCTAGGGAACCATTACTCCTGTTACTATTTCTGAAGGGTTATCTATCTTGGCTTTCATGTACCGAATGATCTTTTTAAAAAATCATTTTATTGGGGGGCTCGTACAACTCTTATCACAATCTATCCATCCATCCATCGTGTCAAGCACACTTGCACATTTGTTGCCATCATCATTCTCAAAACATTTGCT